AAGTTTTTTGCGGGTGAGGTATTAACCCGGGAACCAGAAAAGCTAGAAAGCTAAAATTTTAAACGGGTGCTTCATGACAGCCCTGGTGGCCAGTCTCAATTCTTTTAGCTAGAAGCATTTGCGGGAAAAAGCGGCGCCGGTAGCGACAAAAACTGTGGGGAATTATGCAAAAAAAGCATCTTCGCACTGGCAGTCGGTGCGTTGGCCAATTATTTTCTAGATGTATAAAATTCCTCTGTATTCAGATATCTAGTAGTTGCAACAGCAACAATTTCAACTAACGCTGCACGTCACTGGTTGAGGCGCTTGGTGGTCGGCCTATAGCTCCAACCAAACTTTTTCTTCCTGTCAGCTTAGTTTCAGGAAACCCGTTGACTGGACAAACTGATGAGCTTCTGTTTGACCTGAAAACATAAGATTCACTTTGCGAACGAATTGATTTTCAAAAAAGTCCTTAAAACATCGTTAACCGTGTACGGTACGGCAAAACGACACTAGTTCGTCAAAAGACCCACGTAACCGAGAATGAATATTTGCTAGCCCATATCTGCACTGGTTTTTTATCTGGCCGAGTGCACCAGTACAGAAACAAAGCAAAATAATGGCTAATTACACGCATCAGTAGTGCAGTGGCCATCCTTCAACAACCGACTAGCTCTCCTCAGAAGTAAATTTTTGATTTTATTCAATTACTATGCTCAGTACCAATCCTTCATTCTACTTTGAAAGCCTGCTTAGATTTTTCTTTCTGCATTTTATCGCCAATAAAAGTAGCATCTGATTATGCTCCTATAAAGCAACGCTTGGCATGAGATGTTAGGCAGTTCTGCCGCTTAATCCAAAAGACTGCGGTCCTAGCATACAATGGCAAAACAGTCGATGGTCAATCCGAGCTTTGCAACTGAACTTTCTTGAATTCAAAAACTAAAAGACACAGTGATGTAAGCAGATGTGAATACAACCCGTTGTCAACTGTACTGCTCATAAAAATATGTTGAAACCTTTTGGCGTTCGGTCGCTGTTTCAAGGGGCTGCTTCCAGCACTTTTATCCGGTGAGCTATATAGGTCAAACCCAGAAATGCTGCTTAATGCGGCTGGCGTGCCGCCATTCCTGGAACAATTTCAAGTCAATGAAGTACCGTTAAGTATGCAAATCAAAGCACGAGATTACTGCGGTGCTTCCAATCCAACCTTTGAAACCTCATACTGGTTTTGCCACTAAAAGCAGCGATAAACAAGAACCGATTCAACCATAATCATATTACATGTATCCACTTGACCTCCAAATGATCTGCATGAGAAAAGAGACGGGAGAGGGGAGCGAATGGGGGAGGCAAACAGTGCGCCGACCTCACATTCACACATTTACGGCGGGGTTACAAACCGACCTGAAACTGCTGTGACCCGTAAAAGTGATCGTGAATGTTTGCAAGATAATCGAAGTCAAAGCTTTTGCGGCGCTATATTATGAAAAGTGGTGTAAGTAACTCACTTTTTACTCAAATAAGTATTTTGTAGCGGGGGTAATCCATCACCCAAGACACCATACAATTCATGACCATTCCAGTTCGTAACAAAGTACAAATAATCTAAAAATTTCCGCAATTCTAACATTGTGTTCAACAACGAAAAGCGGATAAAAAGTGATATGAACGGATCCCAAATGGAAAGAAATATTTCAGAAACTGTTATGACAAGTACACGGATCTGATGAGCGAACGCTGCATCTGGAAAGTTTAAAACGAGTACAAAAATTTGGGGAATCCCGCAGTGCAAAATTTCCCACTCGAACTGGCTCGCTGAAATTAGAAGCTGCGATAAAAGAACATCCACCCAATAACAAGGGACGCTCTATGATACGCAGGGTCTAGGTCAGCACTGCATCCCATCGAGGTTCAGAAGTAGCAACGTTTGCAAGTCGAAATGGTGAACACCAGTGACACCTCGAAACACTTAGCAAAACTTTAGTCCCTTCAGGAGATGAAACGATGAAAAAGAGTTGAACAAATCAAAATAAGCACCATGTGTCATTACGTACGGAGATTAATAGCTTCGGGTTTTTCTGAAACCTCCGAATGTCTTCCTCCCTCTCCCCTCAAACGGTGCCTCTACCATAAAAATTGCTGGAACTAGAATATGAAAAAAAGAGCGAGACGAGCAATATTTTCAATCCTTTTTCCTGATAAACCTAATTAAGAGATTTTGATGGCGGCTGCGCCTCTGCAGAAATTAAGCAAAATTACTTGAGGCTTTTGAAAGGACTGAAATATTGAGACAGTGAGTTGAGCCAATTCTCAGATCCATCTCCACATCGTTCGTTTGCACAGATTTGGCGCCAACACAAGTCGAACGGTCACGTGTATTCTGCAACAGATGATCGATAACGGCAAGTAACTGTTTGCTCAAACCAGTCCGCCGTGCTTGCAAATAACAAAACTCGGTTCGAGTCGGCTGCCATTGAGGAAAGAAGCTCTCATTTCTTTGTTAATGCTACCACGCGGCATCGCTTGCCGGCACTGTGTGGTATTTTGCCTGTGAGCGCTGGGTAACGTTAGCCAGTATTCAGTGACTGGACAACGTAGTTGGAGGAGGAGGAGGGCAAGTAGGGGGAGGTAATTAGTGGGTGCCCAGACACCACTCTGGAAGAAGGGACTGGGAAAGGACAGACAAGGGGAACAACGGTACCAGTCAGGAGTTCGCGGCAAAAAATGGAAACAGTGGTTGGGGGTGAGTGATGGATGCACAGATAGAGACAGCAATTAGAGACAAGACAGAAAAAAGGGAACAATGATATTAGTCAGGAGTTCGAGGCAAAAACTGGAGACAGCAGTAAAGAGAAAAAGACAACACAACACTACAAAGAAAAGTAAACCCGAGCTTATGAACAAAAGAAAAAAAAAGTGAAATTAAAAAATCAGAGTCTATGAATAAAAGCAAAAAAAAAGAAGCCAAAGTAAGCAAAAACTGACCTCATGCAAGTGGAAATTGTTTTACAAAAACCCGTCTTCAGCAGGAAGTTTCTCTGTTTATGAATGTCATGC